CTATTGTTAAATACAAATCCCTAATGTTTTAAAAATTAATTAAGCTACATTTATAATTCATCTGTCAAAACTTCAAATGCACGCTTATCAAACCTTAATCTAGCTCTATCATATTTTTTTATATATTGTTAAAGGATTTTTGTAATCAAACTTTCTAAATAAAAATACTTTTTTTTCTAACATCTAAGTCACCAACCTCCAAACCATCTAACATATGGACGCCTCGTTTGTTTCCAGGACGACCCGACTGCAAAACTGAGCTGCCAATTTTAGCTAATTTAATTGCACAATATAGAAGTTATTAGAACTGAAGGAAGGAATTTCACGATGGTTTAATAAGTGGGATTATATGATGACCCCTTTTTGTTTGAATAAAATATATTTAGGTTTATCAATAGCACTAACTTGCTTTCATCATCTGAAGTTTTGCTAATATGAAGAAAATATTTTACACTTATTTCATTTGAAGTTTGTTTGTTTTAATTACAATTACAATATCTTGTACTAACCCGTTTCATATTGACCCCCGTTGGGTCAGTAGTAAGTTTACGGACTCACAAATCTAAAATACAGGACAAAGCAAAAACAGCCCATTGTGTAGAGTTGTGCTAAAGAAAAACAATAACATTCCATACTAACACCTTTAAAAACAAAACAAAAACTATGTCCTATTTAACGACCTAATTCCAAAAGAAAATCATATCTTCAAAGAGTAAGACAAGCATCCCCAGTGCATAGCGTGCTGACTATGTAATGATTCCTTTATTATCGTTGCAAAGAAACATTTCTAGTACATTTCCTCTAATAAGTATGAAAATTTCCGCATGTATGTACAGTGTTACAAAAGCAATTATATAGTGCGAGACCATCATCAAAGAAAGGAAAAAATAAATGTTAATAGGCTAGCGGAACTCCGGCGGGAGTGAGGGGGTTCGTTTGCACCTCCCGAACCATACCCCCTGGCTACGCTTAGTGTAGCTTTGTATGCAATCCAACAAACAAACAAACAAAAACACTCAAAAGTTTCAAAAGAGAGAGAGAGAATAATTCAAAATAAAAATATTATGCACAACAATTCTTAGTTTATTATTATCTGTTGCAAAAAAAATCATTCAGTAAAAAAATAAAAAATATGTTTGTTCTTTCATTGATAAACCACGCAGAATTTTACTGGTGATAATTTCAGGCATATTTATAATAAATATTAATCATGGAAAAGTATCTTATTACATTATTAATTCTAAAAGGCTGTGGATGATATTATTTGAAATAGCTGAAGTGAGTATGATTGATAAACTCACCATGCGTTTCCTACTTTCGTATCCTAGTGAAGTATTTTAATCAGATACACTGTGTATGTACTGATTTTACATTACACCATGTCAAGAAAGTCGTTAAGTTGCTTTCTTTCTAGCTACATCTGAACTTTGTTATTCTCTCGAACTAACTCATTTGTCTGCCCATGAATGCTCTGGCTGTAAAACTAAATTTTGCGCACGATTATAAACAGCAGTGTCCTCCTATGGTAGATTAAATGCTGCCTCAAGGTTACAAACTCCCTTAACTTTGAATGGGAATGACTACTCATGTGAGTAGTTCTAATCGCTCTGGGTTAATCTGAGTTATCCAGGTACCGTTAGATTTAGTCAGTCTGGTAGAAGTATTAATCGAGTACAGTTTGGAGAAACAACAGCTCAATTACAACAGAAACGACTGTCCAGCATCCAAAGAAAGTACACACAGTGTATTTGAGCATTGTGAATAAAGATTGTGCATTATATTCAGTCTCTTTATTTTATTTTCACGAACTCATTCGGTTGCTTAGAAATTCATAACTACTTTTCAAATATCTTGTTTGAATCTCCCGATATTTTGCATAGCTGTCTTCTCGCTCTAAGCCTAAAGAAAATAATTTTACCTAAAAAATACCATATGAATACCATATAATCCGTAGTGCCATTTTCTGTAAATGAAATCATGTATAAAAATTATGATATTGCAGTATATCCGGGTATAGATTACGTCAAAGTTCAATCATATTAAAATCTATAGAATTCCTCTGCACTAGGGGTTAACCTTTATATTTGTTCATTTTAGGAAAATTTGCTTTATTACAAATGATTTTTTAATCTTTCGATCAAAAAAGTTATGACAGATAATATTGTTACGTCTCCGTTTGTTAATTGATTTTTCCGTAACTTCGTTCCGACGAAATTTT